GCCGTCGATCCTGCTTGGCGTAGCATGGATAGTAGCGTATTTACGATATAAATCTTGCACGAAAACTTTACGCATCAAAGCGTATTTCTTTTTTTTTTTACCCAGCTGTTATTGATTTTACCTTTCGCGTTTTTAATTTACCGCTTAGTGTCGCGTTTTTAGTATTATTAATGAGTTATCCGTAAAAGTGCAATATATATTACAGACACGCGCATGTGCCAAATCCAGGCTGAAATAGATTAGTTAACTGTTGTTACATTAATAATTACCTAGTTAGACTTGTTAAAACCGACTGGGAAGCTATCCAAGATATACGTGGAGGTATATATCCAGCAGTATACGTGGAGAGCCACAACGTTTCAAACGTTGTGAAACACAGACAGTGAAATGAAAGATGAAGCCTATATAGATCGACTAACCATCAGATGAATACGCTGCTTTCTTGTAGTGTCTAAATAAACGTAGTCTCAGTCAGAACTCATAATTGTTGAGAGGCGGTACGACATTTATCGGACGGAAGCGTCAAGACAGAAGGGGCTGACAGCAGGCACTGAAATTTTGCTCATGCGCAGCGACCTATCACTCGCAATTTAGACTAGGATCATTGTCTCGGATTCATTAAGAGAGCGCACACTCAGACGGGACTGAAGGGCCGGATCTGTTAATGCTGGCTGTTACTGTTGTGTGAGTAAAAATTTTCGCATGCGAAAAAACTAACTGCACCGTGATTTTCTAATAATAACAACATAATTTTACAATGTAATAGTGATGACGCGAACCGGTGGACGCAATTTCAATAACAACAGCTACGTTTGCTGCTGCTGCTGCTGTTGTCAAATAGCAGGACCGCTAAACGGTAGAAACATCGTCACTTTATCAGACGTATTTTATCACAGGCGAGTTAAGCGCGTTCATTTTTTTTTTCGTGTTTTCGTTGACGGCTTTGAAGTACTAATCCTTGACCAGACCGCGCACGTGCTCAGCGAACTATCTTTTCGGACGGCTCTAAATATCCTATCTATACCGACTAGGGCATCTCTGTGTGAAATGACTTCGCATGGGGACAGAGGCGAAATAACGAAAAATTGTCTTAATAACACTAGCCACAGCGGCAGCCATCTTGCTTAGGTCAGATTACAGTAACAAGTTATTTCAGTATGTGCGCATCTATTTAAATGCAAATTATGTACGTAGCCACATACAAGCTTATAGCGGTAGATAGGCGTTTAGGAAAAAGCTTATTATTCTGCATTTCGCAATTATTATTAGAGTTAAGAAATTAGTTGACCGTGGACGTACGTTAGCGACAACGGGTGCTCATGATTCAGCCGTCAGTATACGTCGATCATCTTTTGTCAATCGACCCGGCGTAACTAACCTACAGTCATGTACACTGCCAAGGGATTAGGGGGTTTTGATCCAATTCCGCCATGTTTCGAAGTTATTCCTGTTTTCACGCGGCTAATCACAGGGCAAGACGGAAACGGCATTTACTATTTCTGCAAGAACGTAACTGCATCTAGTCTGCGCTTTTTAAGTTGTGATAGAGTTTTAGGAAAAAAAAAAAAAAGTTTTTCTCTCGTATACTGTACGCGCGTACATCGCTAATGACCTGCAATTTTTAAAGGTTAACTAGTTTCTGCTAGCTGTACGTATGCAAATCCCAATGCATCTGCCATTTCTGCAATAGGCGATTGTTATTATTAATTGTTGTTATTCCAATGTCATATCGAAGGTACGAGCGAATTTAATGAAAAGCCAACATATTCATTCAAGGTGACGCCACTTGACCCGTTTAATCACGACTTTACCCCCCACAGCAGTGCCGTTATGATGCTCGGCAAGTGAGGAAATAGTAAAAAGTGATACAGTTGTATCTGAATACAGTGGGGGGCGAATCGGTTAGAATAGTTCGAAATATTTAAATTTTAGAAACGCAATATACCCTAGCTACAAATGCGACCCTTTCAATAGTAAACAGCGGTCAGCGTTAAAGGGATAGTTGATCTCTACAAACATGTCGCTGTTACCAGTAGAAAACTTGTAAGTGGATATTCAAATGGAGATTTGTGATACCGGCACTAAAATAGGAGCTTTGCTACACTAGGCACGACGAAACCTTTTATCCGCCTTGGAAAATATGAGCTTGCAGAGTAAGCGCATGTAAAATTAAGAGCGGTTCTAGCTGAAGGCGTAAAAAATCAAATAATGTACAAAACGTGCAGATGCGCACGCATATTCTAGATAAAAAGTTTTTTTCAAAAACATATTTTTCTCCATGATGACGGCCCAATTCTAGATGGCTCCATTCCCAGAAATAAGCTCGAATGTAGGTCTGTTGTACATATCAGCCCACAACTGGCTCCTAGCTGAGTGACTGATCTGAAATTACTCGTTAAACTGAATGCGATCGAAACAGACGGATTCACTACCCTCGTGACGATGCTGATCACAGCGACGGATAAAATCGGTTGCATGTCAGTTATATCATTAAATCAATGGCGAAATGCAAGTTTCAATGAGCCTTTCAGGACTTCCTAAGTCGGTCCATAACACTACATAGCTAGCTGTGAACTTCACATGGTCTTAAATCTCGTACTGTTATGAGTATCACATGCTCTTTCTTATATTGTTTTCGTGAGTGTTCTCGAGGTGTATTTTTTTATATTTACACATAAAAATAACAGTGTCGAGTTCTAACGCTTCATACTGCTGTTAAATATTGCTTGAGACCGCTGATTTCCAACACGAACCGAATCGTGTCTGCACCCTGTTTCAAATCTTATTCTTCTTCTGGGTTGACCCTCGGCCTGAAATGCCATACAACAAAGAGCCTCTTTGAACGCTATTACGGGAACGACCCCAGCTTAGACCACCTTACATCTTCTTAAACTTCGCTGCCAAACCTGTTACCACTGTGTCATCACGAGAAGTTAATGCTCATACATTAAAACTAAGCATCCAGAATCAAATGTAAATATTTCCTTAATTTAAGCAATAAATTAAGTACGCATCAGTCAAATTGTGCTGTAAATAATAGTTACGTTAATATTAAAAATCAGGCAGCTTTGCAAGTACGACTATATGCCCACGAGCCGTATATATATATATCTAGTAGATAAAGCGCTAAAAAATAATGGTATGTCTGACAGATGACGAGATCCAACTATTTGGCTTACAAGATGCTGCTTTCTTTACGGTTGCCAATTTTTAACCGTACAGGACCAAATAAACTAGGATCGGGGCCTCAACTATCTTGACCAGAACAAAATCTAATTCCACGTTTTCAATTGCAAACTGTCCCCACAAGCGTCCCTAGATAGGCTTCCCCACTTCAACGGAACCGTTAAGCATCAATACGTTCGTACGAAATCGAAGCATTTCAGTAGATTCATTTTTAACTGTTTCAGCCGTAATTCTCATCTTCATTTCCCCCTGATGGCCTTCGCATATTCTCAGAGCGATCCGCTGTGTATCCATGCAACGATGCGAAACTAATTAAGAGATGGCAACAGTCAAGTCACCATGATCGTCTCAATAATCACCGTCATCATCAATAGAATCAGCGGCAATATTAGCATTCGTAGGGGAAATAGGTTGTTTTTGTTATTTGTGTTATTCTATGTTTTTCATATCTCTTTCCGTGCTGTCGTCGGGTCGCTCCGCGCACCCCATATTGTCTGTGACTAACCAACAGGTAAATGCAGCTTTCGCACATCCATATTTCAATTTTTATCCTATGCAGTTTACAAATTATTCGTTATATTCAAAGAGGCCCCATCAACTTGTTGTCGGTTAAGACAATATGCTCGGGGGCAGATGTGGAGATGGGGAACAAGGGCAAATAGTAAAAATGGTCATCTTCAACAACAGCGGCGATATCGACAACAACGACAGAAACACACATAAAAGCAACATAGCAACTAGTAAAATGTATAGCATCGACCCGTTTGTTTTTTTTTGCAACTGTTTGATCCTACATCGCTATCATCCCCCTCTTTCGTCTGCTTCTTGCTCAGTCAGATAGCACACAAGATAACGCCTTGTTCCAGACGGTCCTGCGACGTGTGCTATTTAGAAGACCAGACTGTGCATACAGATGTACAAATACATACAGCATTAATCCTTACTCTATTATGATTACTATTACTAGTATTATTTGAATGTTAGTTCGTTTTTTTTTGAACCGTAGCCGGCCATCAGTGGCCTATGCCTGCGTCCATGTGTTGATTAGCATTTACGTATTTCGCTTGTGTCGGCAAGTCTGTTTATAAATCGACATAAAACGTGTTGGCAGCAAGGTTCTCCAATGTGGACGGATGACTCGTAATGGATGATGCTGGACTGTTTTGTAGCCGTTATTCTTCGAGCAGATAGGGTGGGGCAAAAGAGCAGCCCCGTGATATGATACTCCCGAGTAGTTTTGGACATTTGCAACAAAAGAGAATATTAAATAAAGCCATTCAATGCACAAATGAATAAGTTTGCCTGTAAGAGTCATCTTTATGGTTAGGCATATATCAAATACCTGATAGGAGGTATGGACTATAACGGTTATAATTTATATGAACCCAACTAAATTGACAGCTTCAAGGTTAACGCATGCGCAAATCATTTAAACCGCGTGTATATAAAATGGGTTTTCATTTTGGTTCTTATCTAGAAGATCGAATTGATTTATCTAGAAAGATGCAGCGCTATTACGTGATTCGTTAGTGCTGCCTGTGCACACATATATTTTTACTTGGTCCAGAAAAAGACGACAACTTCTACGCCGCTATGAAGGCTAATAGGTCGTCTGGTCATGCGTTTAATAAAAATAGTACCTTGGATCTGATTTAGCTAACTAATGTTTTTGTGTATTAAGCCCGTCTTGCTTTTATGTAATATGTACATTAACTCCTCAAAGATAGACTATTCATATTGCGAGTACAACGGTCATCAGAAAATATTGATAATCAATCATTAGTTGTTTCTACCGTGTCTTTGTCTATTTGTAGCCGTGGAGCGGCGTGAATCACTTGAAGATTGGAGTCCCTCAGACAGTGGAAGTTCTCAGACCGGCGAGGTTCAGGCGGAATATCCGCGCAACTCTACAGCTTGTACCTCAACGGCCACCGGCGACCTACAACTCACAAACAATAGTAACAACTCTCCCGACCTAGAACATAAGGGAACTATCGACAGTTATTTGTTGAAGTCTTCGTTTTCATTACCTGAGTGTTTGAACAGGCAAGAGGAAGGGCACCGTGGCAAACCTGGAAACGGAACAAAATCAAATAATTCAAAGGCGTCTGGAAGAAGCCTCGTTGGAGCAGGCGCTGCCACTGCTACGAGCAGTCGGGTGCACGTGGCTAACAGCGCCATGGACCACGTGGACGGCATTGTGCCGCAGATAACAATGGGTGCGTGGATCTTCACATGTGATAGATACCAGTATAATATTTGCAGGCAGTACTTTGACCGAACGGTAGAAATGGGAAATTTATTAAGTCTATTCAGTTCTACTGATTCTTAGTTAGATTGCTTGAAGGGTTAAATGTGGAACTGGGAACAAGTCAAGATGAGTGTTAGGTCAATAAATTATTAAAAGTAAATAAATCACATGTCTTTTCTTCTTTATCTAATGACGATCGCTGCAGTTGTTGGAAACGCAGGGTGCTGGCCGTTATCTGATGGTCGTGACTTAGCTGGTTTATGTGGGGTATCAACGCTGTCTGACGGCAATGAAAGTGGGTGTGAAAGACTTTGTGAGGGTGAGGATCAGCCACTAGACCTTAGCCTTAATAACAGCAACAACCGGTCATCGCCGGAATCAAGCGGACATTCATCTGCCGCATCCGGTTCGGAACATACCGGAAGCATTTCGTAAGTCATTTTTGTTGCTTAATTACGCTCACTGTAAATTTTCAATCGTCCGTAATAAAGTGTTCTTTAGTTTAAAATAACTTCCTTAGAGTTTACATACAATCAATGTAGCTATGCTCCAACAACTTCTTAGGCGATTCTTCATGTAGTTATCGTCTAACTTTTTCTAACTAATTTTTATAAAATTAAAACTGTTATGATCAGGTTACATGCTCACACTCCATATCCTCATTTGACTCAATCCCAAAGACCACATCTTTTGATAAATTTTCCCTGTGTCTTTGTGCTTTTCCCTTCAGCTTAAAACGTAAGTCATCTGACAGCGTCATTTCAACAACTTCGGGAGTATCGTCTCCGCCCCATCCATCGGCCACGCCCCCTAGTACGCCCCTTCCTCTGGCCGCGGCGTTGGCTTCTGCAGCCGCGACTGCCACAGGCGTCGGCGTCACCGTTGCCAATGGCGGTAGTACCACGCTGGCCAGCTTGCCCAGCTTGGCAGGTTTGCCTCCACTTTCCGGCCTCCACTCCGGTCTGCCTCCACTTCTGGGCGGGGTAAACGCCAGTGTTCCCCCAAAACGGACTTACACCGAAGACGAGCTTCAAGCAGCCCTCAAGGACATTCAGATGGGCAAGCTAGGCACGCGGAGGGCCGCCGTCATCTATGGCATTCCTCGATCGACTTTACGAAACAAAGTGTACAAGATGGCCAATGATCGCAGGAAAATGTCTGCTACTGGTGGGACTTCAGGAGCATCCTCAGGGTCAGCCAATACCACTCAATCGACATCGGCGGCAACCAAGAAGATAAACATATCCAATGGAAGTGGAACCAATGGTGCAGGCGTTGTAAGTGGTGGTGTGAATGCTGGAGCAGACGCAGGGCTAACTGGCAGCATGGGAAGAACACCCTTAGAGGCGACCCCTGACGGGACACCGTCGGGTCAGACGGAACTTATCGATGGCGAGGCGAGTGAAGCATTTGTAAGCATAACTGTTAGAAGAATAGTCGTTTGATAACAGTACTGATTTACAATAGGACTCGTCGATTCGTTGTGGCAGTGTAGTTATGTGGTGTGTTTCGTGATGCCAAGGGGTAGTAACGAAGTATTTTGCTGGTAGAAAAAAACTTAAAATTCAGCCTTTTTTTTTGAAACGTGAATGCAGAGTATGGCGTAATTGCTAGAATGCAGCACAAGAACCACAACGTATTATATTGCCGAAGATGACAAAACAAAATAGCGAATATATTTTAGGCTACAGCAATATATTACCACGACGCTCCCTCTTCTAATTTGACATATCCTAATATTATTATTGTTATTATGACGTGGTTGAATAGGATATAGATAGGCAGGTATGTAAAAATGTAATATTAGTGTACGTACGCATGTCAAAGCTGCGCTGTTATTGCTAACTTCTTAACACAGAAAAATCTAAGGATCTCGGTAACGGTGAAGTTCGCTTAGAGAGATCGATACCTATTACGTTGCCTTCAAGACGGCCTTCGATTGGGAACCGGTGAAATTACTCTGCAGGTAGATGCTTATTTATTAGAGGAGTACGTTTATTACTTTATCATCTTTTCAGTTTTGGTGGTTGCCCTCTCAAAATCAATATCGTGGTCAAACCTACAATCAAATGTTCTCTATCCTTGTGGGGCTCCTCCAATGATAGCTCTGGCGTTTCAAATGCTTAGTCTCAAAGCAGAGGGACTAGCGGCCAATCAGTTCAATGCAGCGTCACTAATGGCGACAACAATATAATTATAATTATCATAACATGTCATATAAAAGACACTCAATTTCCCGGCATCGGAAATACAAGGACCAGAGAATCTGCTCTCTCGACCAGGGGAGTTGCGGTCAACAAGAGCCTATTGAAATTGGCCTTCATTCACAGAATTTCCCTGCGTGTGATCTTAGAGTTTATTGATTCTCTATGTATTGACTAACAACTGAAGGTCAAACATATACCTTACCCTAGGCTGTGGCCATATTGATGACACAGATTTTGCACACGGTAGGATATATGTCTTGTTTTTTGTTTCGATCACATATTTCCATTCGTTTTTTCCAAATCGGCAAACACGAACTTTTGCGTATTTGGGGAGGATATAACTAAGAGCGTGTCTTAACTGGTACGTAATCAAGCTATGGACGCTCCACATTTAGCCGCTGAAGCTATAACTGGCAAAATTTGTCTAGCCAGTCAATTTTATTCAATTTCGTGTGTTATTAAATAGAGCATCCGAAAGTATCAAAGATTTCAGAGTAAGTTCAGTAACCTCACTGGTTCGGATATCGCAGACTCTTGCGTCATATACTGCTTGGCTTTCACTGGCGTTATCTGGACAAAGTTCTCCTCTGCGGGTATTACGAGTAGTTTTCGATGTTCGAGCAGAGATTTTTGAAATTTGTCAATAACAATCGACTAGCATAAACGACAAACCTTCAATTGAAGTTTCACGATTCCGATTCGGTATATTCGCTGTTAGTCGATCCATACATCAATATTATGTACATCTTCCCAATGAATTTCTTGTGCTTAACATGTCATCAAAGGCCACCGTATTACGCCGCTGTTCTTCGTGATGAAGGCTCTATTTAGGTGGATAGAGCGGTCCATGGTCGATAGGGTAGAAAAAAATCGGGATTTTTGCGTCTTTCCGTCAGATTGCTGAGAGATGTTGTAAACATAACCAAGGCGTGTTAATGATGGCAGGCTTCTTAATGGATATTGAATTACATTTTAACGTTTTTTCATTCACACTCACGTATGATCGCAGCGTTCAGTTCTCCCTGCCTCTGCTGGCGCGGAACCGATGACGTTTCGTTCGCAGCGAGACGGAAAAAATCAGAGTTACAATAGCTGTTGATCACTATGAAGTGTTATCGTTCTGCGAACTATCGTAATTGCATGTACTTTATAGCGTTTGAACATATCTCGTGAGTGTGCAAGCTTGCGTTATGATATATCTGACATTGATATATAACGTACCAAAGCCAATGTATGTACACAAATTTGCATAAGGGAAGGGCAAGCATTGAAAGCAGGGCCGCGTTTCAACTCGTGTCGACCAGCAGTCCAACTGACTTAATTCCACTACAGGGCCGAATGAGAACCATAGAAATGAACACTTCTACTAGCAGACAGGGTGCATCTAGGGCTTGCGATTCGCGAGATCAGACAGGGTACGTCACAGAGCACCTAAGACGAAGAGATAAACGTAAAATAAAAGTTGTTGCAAGTCAGCCGAGAAACTCTTCATCCGCTCTGTAGCATTACGGTTCCGAGAATCAGCGATCTAAATTGTACGGGATTTGACAACCGTACGTATCAGACGTGCGTACAAAGCACGCACGCGTGCTGAATCGATGCCAGGAAAAAGCAGTGTCGTCGTGAGCAAGCGGGCTTTTGCTGCGAGGAGTCGCTGCACTTTTAAGCTGGAATGAATTCAACGAGGAGACTACTGTTAAAGCCAAAAGAGGTAGCACATTCTTGACAAGTGATTATTTTCATTTATGACGTATCGATGATAATTTTTTTTATACCTGAAAATTTTTCCATTCTAAATAAACGGGAGGAACTTAAAGACATTTTCCTTACATTGTTCTGATAGTTTATTTTGCAGGATAAACGAATTAATTTGGAGAAGATCATTTGCGCTAGTCAAAGCGCTGACAACAAGAAAAAGATAACGTCACTTCAATTCTCTAGAAGATAGTGTTGTCTTCGTCCAGACATAGGAAATAGTGCTAAATCAGTTAATGCTTTAAAAGTGCCGTATTTCAGTTGCGCTGAAAACGCCTTGACACGTCGGTAAAGAAGAACTAAATAACCGTCTGGAACCAACGAATTCAAATCTTTTTATGCTTGATAAAACAGTATTTTAATTGAAAGCTATTTGTTTAAGAAAGCTACCGTCAAACAGCAAATATCGAAATAATGTACCCTCTTTACTACTCATTTTGTATGCGGCGAACGTCTAAATGTGTGTTCCTCTAAAACAGCGTATCATCATACGCTATTCGAAAAATTCAGATTTAACTTAACTAATAGTTTATGCGTCAGTCGCACCTAACATCCTCCTGAGTTTACTTAATCTTGAAAAGAAAGGATTCTCGATTCAGTATACGTTTTCTAGAGAAAATATGCCGCCTATCTTAAAAGTCCTTGTAGCGCCTAGTTGAGTTAAGCCTTTCGATCGGAGAAAGCCTTTTATTCGATGTTCATGTATCTCGAATCATGATACGAGACACGAAACAGGGAGAACGATTATATATATTAACAATGGTGATGAACTAGAACGGTTTGCTCTAGTCAGAAGGACACGTATGCGTTTCTAAATGCCGTCGCAGGCTGTTGCCCCAGTGGTGACACAGGGTCGATTTAAGGTCACTAATTCTAAAATGGCCAGCGTCCTCGATCAGCCGTTAGTAGCTGCTGCTACTGCAGCAGTACCAGCATGTATTGTGAAGCCTGGAAAAACAAATCGCAATCGGCTAGAAAGAAGAACGTCTGAGTAACAGCAGTCATAATCAAACACAACTGATTAGCCCAGTTTGAATTATCTAGAATTCGATAGCTTAATATTTGCGTCAATTTTAAAAATTGCTCCCCAGTTTCGATGGCCGGCGGGATCGGTCTATTTTTAACATATCTTCCTTTACACTAGACGCAATTGTAGTTGTTTTCGGTGCTGCAGCAGTCGTGTTTTGACCTATTATGACCGTGTTATTTTGTGAGGTTGGATGAGTTAATTAGGTATGATCTATGATTAGTGTCGTCAGCCGATGGCCGTATAGAGCAATGTTTATGCATGCAGAGGTCAATTTCGAAGGTGCTGACCCATCAAGAGCGATAACAGGCGTGCTACTGAGGAGCCTTGTCCTGCTATTCATACTAGACACAACATCGTGCATTTATGCAGTTTGTTTTGTCTACGTAAGTTAGCGACACGAAAACATTTTCTACGGAATATCTTGAAATTTGAGTAATTATTTTGCTGCAATGTACGTTTACGACCAGGCATACGAAATAGCTGCAAGGCAGGATTAAAATGGGGCTTTGACTTTTGCAAGTTTATCCGGAAAGTTACAATTCGTCCTAACACCACTAGTAAAAAAACGCAACACATACAAGTTATTCTATGTACTTGTTCTATGCTCTTGTTTTTCTCTTCCTCAGGCCACAAAGCCGTCACTCATCGAAGGCCAGGCGGGTGCGGGTCGCATCCGAGCATCGGAGAGTCTTTGTCAGCTTTTGAAGTTGACAATCAGTCAAAAGGGGACGCTGCCTTCGCCTGCGGCCAGCAGCACCTCAAGCGGAGAATCCTGTTCACCTCCACTTGGGCCTTTAGCGCCGCTATTCATGAGCGGCGTTGGCGTTGGAGGCGGACCGATTGGTAATAGGACTGGGATTCGAGGTTTGACATCGCAACTGGCCAGTCAGAGTGATACCGTTCAAATGTTCCAACACTTCCTTTCGTCGCTTCACCAACAGATGGCCCTTAGGGGAGTCTTAGCTTCGGAACATACCGAACATTCAGCCATGATGCCAGAATTCCTAAAACAGTTTTCGGGTAGGAAATCGTATTGTGCATGTATTTCCTGAAATCACTAAAGAGTACACCCGTATGTTCACGTATGATCGTCGCTGAAACGACCACAGAGGCGAAATTTACATGAGCCTATTAGAAGAACAAGCACAACCAATTTTCTATAGATCAATGTCGGCCGTTTTCGCAGTTTATTAGTGAGGTATCGAAATATTATTCTATGTACACTGTGTCGTACCCATGTATGGCGCGTTACATGGTATTTAGAGTACTCCAGGGTTCAACGCTCACCCGTACGTTTATCCCATTCAATTCGGTGTTAGAACTAAGGCAGCTAGCATAGGATCAAACCTTCGTTTACTACACTGTTGTAGTAACTTTTCTACGACGAGCGATAAACACTGATTATGCATATGTAGAACTTTGCTTAATAATATGGCTAACTTCTTCTTGCGCTTGTCGATTTTCACAGCGCACGATCGATTATTGGAGGAGCAGGTAAATCTTATGAAGGGTTCGTTATGTAACAGAACTCTTGCCGGTCTAGGTGTCAGTGGACTCAGTGGCATCAGTAACAGCCTGCACGGTTCGAACGGGCTGGGATTTGGGCTCGATGCTCTCAGCGTGGTAGAGGGACTTGATGGTAAGATTCGACCGACCACTAGACCTACGGACACAGGGGCAAAGATGCCCGCGCTCGCAGGCGCATTATCGGGCGGCGTTGGTAAGCAGCTCAATTCGAGGAATGTTGTCAAATCCGAAAAGCAGCTGGGGATGGTGTCGTCGAACAGCAATGCCAACAATAACAACAACAGCAACAATAGCAACCAAAAGAAATCACTACAGGGTAGGCGATGATGCATAAAAGTATTAATTGTTGTTTTTTGAATAGGTTATGTCATTGGGTTGACGCGGCTGAGACTAGTGCCCTCTCTTTTCTTTCAGCCGTACAGGCCCATATTGACGAAAATAGTAGTAATATAATAAGGAAGTTGTCCATTAGCAAAATGGAGTGCTTAATAACAAGTTGATAATGTAACGATTTTGTGTGTACACAGCACTCCTTCTGTCATTTTGTGTTACTGTTAATAATGATAATGCTGATTGATGGGTATGCAGTGAGTGCCGACGGCAAGGTGCCGCGACCAAAGCGCGGTCGCTACCGGAATTACAACCGCGACAATCTGCTGCAGGCCGTTAACGCCGTCCAAAGAGGAGAGATGAGTGTGCATCGCGCGGGGACTTTTTACGGAGTGCCCCACTCGACACTTGAATACAAAGTAATAAGCTTTAGGCAAAATTAAATGTTAATTAATTTACTTACCATTAGCTAGTCTTCGTAATTATATTAGAATTTGATAATGCTAACCATAAAGAAGCTTAAAAACCGATTCTATCACATATTTTCTAGTCCGATTTGCATCTTTTGCTGCAAATCCGTATTCTGTAAGGTATCCTTTTTGTTTGTTTTTTTCCCTATTGAGGTACAGGTCTTTGGATTTATTCAGCTTCTTACAATTAGAATCTACTAGCAAAGTTTACCAGTGTTTATTTCTCGTCTGGTATTTACAGTTTCGCTAATTTCGCGAGTTTCGTTTCTTCTAATATAGGTAAAAGAGCGTCACCTTCTCCGTCCCAAGAAGCGAGCTCCAAAGCCCCACAACAGCCAGCCTAGTACTCCAGGAACTCCAGGTACACCAGGTGTACCTGGGACTTCGCCAGGCTCGGTTGGACCTTCAGTAAGCCCTGCTCCTCCAGCACCATTATCTGGAACATCCACACCACCTGACACGCGTCCGTCATTTCCATGGGCTCCAATCGTTTCGCCCGTAGTAGGCCCTGGAGGCCTAATGCCGGATAAAATACCGATGGGTCCTTTTTTCTCACCTCATTCGGGAGTCCGGATAGAGAAAATGGTTGCCCGAACCGAAACCGATGTAGAAGCCCGCGAAATAAAGGAGCACACAGAACTTCCAGACAACCCCATAGATGTGGATCCAGTGGATAACCCTCCACTCACCCAGGTAGTAGTTAAGAGTGAGTCTCCTTGATCGTGCAATGGTACAATGCTTCAAGGGCAAGTTCAATCGCTTAAGTTTGATATTACTGTTAAAAAAAAAGTACTTTGCTCAAACATCTGGGGATCAGAAGTTTAAGGCAGCATATAATAATTCTAAACATCTAACTGAAAAGAGCCGTTCTTAGGTATTACTCGATACCACAATCTTATTTGTTAAGGCCAGCTTTACGACCAACAAATGGGGTAATGGAAAGCGATAATTAGTTATTTAATGTCCCTTGATGCTCACATAGAGTACTCCGTACGTTTAATGGCTCAATACAGAAACATCGCCATCTTTATCTGCCGTTTCTCACCGCCTCGAGACCACTAAATGCTTTTTTTTATTGCGGCTAAGTTACAGGTTGAACCGGGTAAAAATGTTAGCGTCCTGGAAAAACTAATTGAATCTTCCTTAGAAAAGCGCGTTGAAGATACACCACAGGATGATACGAATTTCGATTTGGACGAGAGGTCATCGCCGGCGCCACTCAGGATCGCAGAAAGACCCGAAGAGTTGACTGTTGAGTGATACAGCTCAAATACAAATGTAAACAGAGAAAGAACTCCTCTTCGTCTATCGTCGTCACGCGATTTAGCGTGGTCTAGGAGTCGCCCCATACGTGTTCTCTAGTCTCTCCCCCCTAATCTAATAGGCAGGCCTAACGATACTTTTTGCGCCCAACACATTCCTCGTATCGCTAACGATAATACAGTAGATATATATAGCAAACAAAAAAAATCCGACCCGATTATTACGTATTTAAACCATTTAAGGTATCACCGCTTTCCACATTGTCTCGGAGGAAGATTCTCAAGGTCCTGAAGACGTAGTCTGAAGACTGCTGCTCCTAAATAGTTGGGCCTTCAAGGGATATATGCGCTGATGGAAGCGATGGTCGTTACCCTACTAACGGCGAACTGACCGATGGTCATATCTGCTTCGTCCGACCCCGTTTTTATCGAGATATCGTCGTAATGATAGAAATCACACTAGTAGCGGTTAAGGATGCATAATTAATCTATCAATATATAGTTCTGCCTAGTCTATACTCCCCTGTGATGGAGCAACAAAAACGTTACGTTGATTGTGTGCTCTTCGGTTTTGTAATTCGGTTTACGTCTTCTGTCCGCGTGTCGTTGCATCACGTATCAAAAAGACAGAAATAAATTGAGGATTGAGATCGAAGGCAATAAATCTTCACGAACAACTTTTGTATGCGTTTGAATCTGTACGGAAATATAAAACTAAGTGAAGATCTTTTAACAAGGTTTACGGCGTTCTGTTCATATAATGTTTGTTTTTGCACAACCAAAACATGGGGTTCGCGGTTCGTATATGTGGCAAATGCATACAGGATGGTACCACGAACGGTTTTTCGCATTGATCTCGAAGACGGTAATGTCTAGCGAAAAAAGTGTAAGAAACATTTGCTGACAGTTCCTGAATTCAAACACAGACTTCTTCTTCCTATGGAAAGGCGCCTGAATTTTACAGTATTTACTGTACGTCCTTAAGTAAAGCAATATGATTTTTATTTATTATTTTTGAAGTGAATATTAATATAAAGTTTAGGGTGTTTTTCGTTTGGCTCAAAATGTATTCACTAAGCTTGCATCTATTATGATTTATCTTGATCGATTAAAAGAAAAAACACGAGTTCAATGTTTAGCCAAATGTCTACCTATTTTAAACGTTTCGACTTATTTGCAAAAGATATTTTTTGAACATTCATTTTTTTGATTACTTTTTCATTACTCACATACATAACAACCGTTCTCTTCTTATGAACCTTTCAGAAATTTGTAAAACATAAAAAAACAAACATTTCTATTTCGGGAAATGTTGTTTTTCTTACGAATCCTTCCCTGAAAACTCACGAAAATAATTATAGATGTAGTTGAGTTATCTATGCGGTAAATGACATCTCAAATAGGCATAGTCAAACATTGGCCAAGAATACGGAACAATACTAAACAAGCCGGAAATATTAATGGTAATAAAAAGGCCTTTCTTGCCATTCTGGAGGGAGCTATATATTATATTAGGAAATTTATCGAATGAAATTGATGTCGCGAGCAAAAAATTTTAAAAGTCATAATACTTACAATGTAACGAGCTGCTGCCTCGAGTCATCGCCAATAAAAAATGTTCTTACACTGTTTTCTATAAGCCACACCGTTTCCGAGTTGTATTAACAAACCGAATAGGCAATCACCCTGTATCTACGCGTGGTATAGAACGGTCGAACTGAACAAAGGTCGCCAATAAATTCGGATAGTTAATTCATTTGCGAGTTGGCAATTTGTGTACCGGTACAAGACCTATGTAAACGACACGACTGTCGCTTGTCCCACTCCCCTGTACTGTGAGCCAGAGTTAAAGACTGTCGAGGAAATGCTGGTCGAAATCGCAGAGATCTCAGATTGAAACCTAAGCAAGAGTAGCTACTTCGAAAATTTCCGACGCAACAGAAATTAACGCAACCGTTTATGAAACGGGGGCATACGGACCTGTGACCAAAGTGTTCGTCGAGCCCAGATGGGCATCGCAAACCTTTCTGCAATCTAGCCTAATACTACAATGCATCTCTATTGTACATACAAACCAGTACATCGACGACGTTGTCGAAAAGTTTCAGAGTGGGGGCTCAAGCTTCCAACATAGAACCTAATTGGCTCTCCCGGAAGCGTATCGCACGTTTAAGGCTTTGTTAGGCGTCCTACGCTAATGGTTACGCGGTCATTCATCATTCAGTCGGCAACAACAGATTTTCCGTCTACGGACCTTACGACTATGGAACTTGCTAAGTTTACACACAAACCAGTTGGAGTTATGATATCATTATGCCCATGTTGTTAAACGGCCGCTAAGGTTTTTGCGACGAAGCGGTAGATCTAAGAACGCGTACGGATATTAGATCTTTAGTATAACTGTTGAGTGACACGTGAACAGTCCGTGGTAAGCAGCCGATCAATCCTAATAGGGGGCGATCCTCGAATTGAGTTTCATCTTTATTCCATGATAAACACGCTCGTTCAAGTATTTGCTTTAATGGTTACAATGCGATTCATTTGTACGACCTAACGTGCTAAATATTTGTATATAAATTGTACATAATTTACTCCTATTACAGTGTATCGTTCAAGCGATCCAGCGGTTAGTTAGACGCAAGACGAATTTATCCAGAGCCTCGAATAGCCAAGGTAAGAGGGGGTGGTATAGTCAGAGTTTGTAAGTATCCATAAGGTTCTTCCCGATCCCATACGCAGGCACATATATAGAACGATTCTTGAAATTTCAAATCTAATACTACCACTGGTAGTACTTGTGCTAATTAATCGCGGTGTAATGGGAATATGAGCCAGACCTAATTGTCACTGCACGTCTGGAGAAGGAAATTCTGCAGAGGGATGCAGGCGCGAAGGCGTGCCGATATAGATTTGCGTTTACGCTTTGAAGTTATAGAGAATGTTAGGAAAGAAAATGTCATCTGTAAACACCATATAGTTTTAAGGCAGAGTTGTTATCATTACAATCGTATGATTAAAAATAAAAGCAAACAAGATATTCTAATCGGCCGCTTCGGTGCTCTGGTTATGTTGTGTATTAGTGAAAAAAAAAAAACAATCAATTAATCGGTTGTCGATTACACGAGCTCGATGACACAAGGCTCCGGTGGCGCTTTTTACTGTCATTATTACTATAGTTATTATTAATGTGTATGATTATAGAAGAAATCAATCAATCAGTGTATTCTGTACGCCACGTCCTCGTTTATACGGTCATATCATGTATACCAATAGATTTACTCATATATATATTTCACCCCCGAAACGAACGCAACCGCATTTAATGAACTATATCATTTTTCGAACTCGCTGCTATCTGCTAACGATCTTTTCAGAACAGAAACAGTAAGACAATATTTGATCAATGAAGTTTCATTAAAAGGTTGGCCTGTATGTACCAGTTGTGTGTGCAGTAGAAAGCAAAGATGTCGCCGTTGTTCGATGATCGTTGAACACGGCGAAGCACTTTTCGTGCTAAGTTCGTGCAGATACGAAGAAGCAATTAACCCTTAAGTGAAATCCAAGAATTTTTTAGACGAGTGACGCCTGTGAAAGACGTATCCTTCATAGAGAAGCAGGTACCACAATGGCAGACGCAGCACGGGAACAAAAAGTCGATCTTGGATCGGCCATGCTTTGCCGTTCAAGCAATTTCAGTTCAGCTGCTACGTGATACGTCGAAACTCATAAATTTCATAATAATTCTATCATGATTCGCCCAAGTTATACATCAACAACAATAGCAGCAACAACAACTCAGGTTGACTATCACATATATGATCCCGCTACTTTCCTACAACTATTTTTCTATCTCACATCTCATACGTATGATTGCAACAATTTCATACCATTAGTTGTGACAGATGGGCACATCTAAAAATGGCGCGAGCGTACTTCCAAGGCATGCCATCTCTCCTCTCTGTGTATACCCGAAAAGTCGAGGGTGAACAGCTAGTGCGAAATGGAATTGGATCTGAGCGTTCTTTAATTACGTCACGATCGAAAACGATACACTCCAATTGCACCACATTCGAATAGGACTAAGACTAAAAACATGGCGGAACGTATCAACTACATACACAGATACACGCGATAAAAACATCACATGTTATTGTAATGAATGTGATAATTGCTACTATACAACCTACATGATTATTCATCATTGCTGACATGTTACCATAAAAGCAAGCAACCAATCAATAATAAAAAAAAAATTGTCACAGTTTTCTACAGAATATTGCATACCGTACGATCAACCATTGCTCTCTGTGTAGACCATTCGACATGGCGGCGTCGTCTGTCTCTTACCTGTACGATATAATAATGTCATCTATAATTTCATACAATTGTTCGAGTTTCACTTTTTCTGTTATTTATTTCTACTTAGCCAGCTCTATGCGCTGTACAAAGGCTCACGTTTGTAGTGTAGGTGTTCATTTCAATAAGTAGCCATACTTGAAAAACATTGAGATTTTTACATTTGTCGGTGTTTACTAGTTTAGCGCTTTGGAATTGTATGATGAAATTTGCTGCGTACCCATTCGAGACACACAAACAGCTCTAAATAGTCCTTAGCTGAATCGTCCGAAAGTACACATTTACCACTTGGCCATTGTTTTTCTTCCTGGAAATGGTCGACGCTGTCATTGTTTATTACTGTCACTAGTGTCGAATGGGTTGTGGCGTCACGTTTCTTCCAATGCTCAATATTCTTTCAACTTGTCTGCCTTAGGCCGCCGTTGTCCGGACATCGGGAATCGTTGATGGGTGTGAGGTGCGACCCTTCGTCAGAAAGACGTACATATACTAAACACCTACATAGATAATAAGATCAATCGCTCGCTGTGGTAACATCATTTACTGTCTTATTATATTTAGCCACTGCCGCGGTACTGAGAACTAACTAGCTGGTATCAACGGGTCGCAGTGTAACTGATTGGCCAGGTTTCGGATCTCGACGTATGACTATATGTAGACATACAATTATACCATTATAATGACAGTGCTATTATTAAATATGCGATAATATAGTTGACAATGATAGCCATTGTTGCACACTTGGGAAGCCATAAGTAAGGCATCATCACCCTGTGTAGAATTGGTACCAGGATAGATGCCTAGCGATTTACGCCATAAATCAAATAAGCTGGCGATACAATGTCCTTACGTGATGACGTGTGCGAAATCAAATGTTTTGACGGTCGATCAAAAACGAAAAATTAATTTAAGCTATTGTTAGTATTATTGTTGTGTCTACGGAATAACGTCACCCCCATCATAAAAAAAAATATAAAATCACGCAGTCAATAAACATCAACACTATAGGGTTCGACTTAGCAAATCAAGCTGAACATCGGTTTCAAGGATTCTAGGAATGGAGCCATTTTGATCTAGGTCGGAGGCTCAGCGAGATCAGACCGGCTCGTTACATTGAGTAGATACTAACTGTGCGATTAAAAGCTTCACGGAAGTAATTTTCTCAGCGCTTTCAACCGCCACGGTGATGGCATCGTGGGTGGAGTGTTTGCAAACAGACCCGAGGGACCTTTGGGTTCGAATTCGAGCGTGGACACACTTTGTTCCGTTCTGGGAGCCAGCTATCTGATAGAATAATACCTAACGGCGGTACCGAACGTAAAACTTTCGACATTTATCGTATTACGCCAAGCTAAAGTGTTTCGGAGACTGAAAAACGCTCATGCTTGAACTTCGATGTTCTCTGTCCTGACCTTGCACCTAGCGTTAGCCAGCAGGACCTCAACAATGCCCCGTCCTTTCTCTATAATGCCGGTTCGTGATATACATGCGGAGGGAAAATTATTATTATTATGGCTGGTCAGAAATGGAGTAACTAGGTTAATAGAGACAAGGTGGATCGAGTTTTGAGTGGCAGGAAGTGCAACCTCGGCAAGGGATAGTCTTTCGTGTTCTTAAAACAGATTTCTATAATAATAATGATAGAGTTATCGGATGCGATTTGTGATCTTAGTCTCAGATTAGCTTCTGGACAGATGTGTCCTTCACTGTTTCTGAATCCTGACTAAACAGCAGAAGGAGAATGATAGTACTACTGGTATATATCCTGGAACCTAAACCTATCATCCTAACTGAATACAAACATTTAGTAGAAAATACCTCGCGACATTTACGAGACTGTCGAAGTCATTGTTTTTATTGCAAGATATATAGGGTTCCGTCCACTTGAGGCTGCTGTATGATCAATAAGTATCGGAACGTAAGTACGTGTTTGCCGTAAAGGAATAGCCCATGATGTTTGGGCATCCTAATCGTAACCCCAGGTGACAATCTATCTCCAAGCTGACAATAAAAACAATAATGAATTGATAAAATCAAATACAAAGGGGACCCGTGTCCCATGTCCACAAGTGTACTAACGATGCACACCACACAAAGACAAATTATTACTCAATGGTACAGCTGGATAAATCTGTAAATCACGTATAGATACAAGTACATATCCATGCATACGATATCTATTTATATTAATCTAAACGTATTTTATTCCCAACTGCACCTGAAGCATTCTGACGTGATACCAGTTATATATATATATATATATTGTAAAGCAGACACAACAAATCTGTATTCGCCATAACACATTCGCAGGGATGACGCAAAGGAAAGATTGAATAAAAATATGGATTCATTCAATTACAACTAAAAATAACTAAAAAACCAATAACAGAGCATTATTTTACTTCTGCAAAAGCGATAATATAATTATCTAACGAATATTGACCATCGTTGCCAATAGGATGAGATATAAGGTTGATTCTACAATTTCGAAATAGTCAAACAGGCTAAATTCTACAAAAAAAAAAAAAAAAAAGCGAAGCTTTCATTATTATTGTAACTAGTGTTATCTTTATTATCGTTTATCGAACTAGTACATTTCTAACTAACGCTTCTCCTATTTTTACAAATTTTCACTATTTTATTGGTTAGTTGGTAGATATATATCGAGTTTGGATAATAACGGAATACACTATGGAGAGATAGTTATGAAGAATAGCAAAGCTACACGTGTTAGGACTAATTATAACTGCTATGGTGAAAAAAGTGAGATGATCCAATCACGGTAGCATTTTAACTCCTCTGTTTGTTAGGCCTTTACTGAAGTACTTAAATATATATATATATGGCTATATATAAATAAATGACTATATTATATATACACACGCGATGACACGAGTAACAGCACTTCGCTAGTAAAAAACAAAACAAGTGATTGATGATTCAGGTAGGAACCAACAATAATAGTTTATTGTTATTATTAAAGGCAGAACGACGAGAGTATCGACTTAAGCAATGGGTGATTCCCTAATATGTCTCATGTGATGTCGGTAGAAGAGATAAGATTACCGACTTTAAGTCCGCCACTGAAAATTAATATAATAAATAGGTAAAAATTAAGTATATATTGTATCTATGTGCGATACAGCAATCCCTGCAGAGCGACCGCTCTGGATTAGTTTAAATAATAAAGGATTATTATATATATAACAAACAAAGAAAAACAGCATAGATTCTTCATCGTACGTTTTAGGTAGAGAATATATAAATGCTACATATACGTCAGTTCTAAGCTAGCAAAGTAGATACACTTTACTAGCTCAGCTAGCATTCAGCTGTTTTAGTGAAAAGAAAAACATTCGTCTAATAAGCCTACATTCTGCGGCTGCTGTATCCCTTGTTATTATAATGATTATCTTTCGCTTCAACTGTCAAATATATATATGTATATATATATACATATATATTTACGAGGAGCATTTTCTTTGGAGTCACTTTTATCCATAGTTGTCAATGGTAACGAGTCGAACACGTTTAAATAAATTCGTCAAATTTGCAAATACTCTTGGGTGTTTTTACTGCTCTCTATATGCATTAGATCCACAAGTCACTACTAGGACTGACTGAAAAAGCGGGTCAGGAGTTCTTTTCTCTACAACCGTTGTTACTTACACAGGTCAAACGGGCCATTTTTAACAATAGCTATTAGTGTACGAAAATGTAGTCATTATTTGTTTCCGTACCATTTTACCCTACCATCTTTAAAACGCGTGTTGCCAAACAGTGAATATTGCCGAGGATTACTTACTCTAATAAAAAAAATCTACAATAGCCATTAAAAAAACACCATTTTGGCTCAGTCATACCGATGTTCCATATCGTTATGTTCTATCTGAACTTTTTACTAGATAAATAGCGCTATTAAAGACGAATATTGTTAGTAAATAATCAAACGGTGCTTCAGTTCAGACAATACATTTATTTGTTCAGCTCCAGTTGGCACCATGTTTTACAATTTTTTTTTTACTTTATATCAATTCTATATAACTAATAGATTAACCAAATGTTTAACACACAATATTACGCCATGGACGAAATAAAAATTAAATCCTTGATCAACAATGCGACGGAATCAAAGAAACTCTGTCTGATCAGATGTCACAGATCATGTTATTAATCTTCTCGCTACCTTCACAGATTGCACTTTTCTTAGGTATTATTTAATCATTTTGAAAAGCTGATTGCTCACACAATGTAATTGAGCTGATTTAAGTAGAAATCGAGTGCCCGCATTTGATAATGATAATCGTCCAAAAAAAAAACACATCTTCATCTCATACACACGTATTTGTATGTGCGGGAACAATATCGTAAGGTATGATAACGTATATTTATGGAAAATTTGTTAAGGTCATCTATGTACGGTGTAGGATAATATACAAAGCTTAGTATGTCAAATCGTTAGAAATGTATATGTTTTAAACATTTGGAAAGCTATCTTATACAGGTTAGTAATGTGGAACAGTCAGATTTATCGTACTACATATTATACTAAGATCTATTCCCATATAGTCTGAAATACTTGCCTATCTTCATAGTCTTACGTTCGTTGCAAAAGTACATACAATTACTCTACTAATGTGGCCTTATTAATAGTTCTCATAGGCATTTAAGGTCAAGGCCCTGTGTCCAACCTTTTGTCCGCTAAATCGAATGCATGTTTTGTAACGCGTTATCGTACTAATTTAACCAACAAATAAATACGACATGAAATGGCGACTGGCGTCTTTGCATATTTCCTCTGTGACAAAAAAAAAAAAGAGGAGATATCACGCGAACAGTTTCTGCTCCAAGTGTATTCAAACGATATAATTCTATGGAATCCAAAAGTAGATGAAAAGTCGCAGTTCTAACAATATCTATCCGAGAGCGCTACTTCTCTGGCTGGAAGTCGTTCTTCTCCTTCTATGTCCGAAATTAACTAGTTTGGCTATTAATTAGGCCAAAAATAATCGACTCTTGATAAATCGCACCTGATATTGCTGTTACAAATGATCTAGGACTTCAGTTTAGATAAATTCCGTGTGCTAGACGAAACCGAATCCTTGGCAGCCTTCACGAAGCGCCGTTCGAAGCTGTCGTACGAGCAACTCACATGAATCGTAACCAGGCAAACAGAGGTAGTTAAAGCTGGGGAAAAAAAAAAAAAACGAGTAGAAATACATTTTTCTTTGATAATCATGCAGATAATAATGATTTCATTCATAGAGATTTTGTGGTGTAGTATACTATAGTAGGCAGTTTTTACTCGTAAATACAAAGGAGAACATCACCAAACAGAAATAATTACAGCTGTAGAAAACGAATAGAAATAGATCTTCTTAGATTATTGGTAGGGTTTGCCTACATTTAACAATTTATCTAGAACTATTAAAAATAAAAATTTACAAAATACCTAAGCCATTAACCCATTGTTTCAGACACCTCGCGATCATCAATAGAATGAAGCGAACATTCGAAGCGTTATATATAAAAAAAAAAAGAAAGTAAGGTCAATATTTCAAGCATTGCAGTGGAAGTAATATACATATTAACGAACCAGATTTACTCAAACTTTAGCGATATTCTACGCAGATTCAATATTGTTTTATACCATGTGTGAGCTGAAGGTAGTATGTTATTTGCTTCCACGTAGACGATATGCACCCACGGCTCTAGCTGACTAAATCCTCCCAAAGGAAGCCGGCTACTTCCTGCAAAATATCACTAATTAGTCACAAATCCTTGCGCAGTCCTAACTGAAGCCTACCCATTATACCATATTATATACGATTGATCCACGTATGTCAACACATGTATTTATACGCGTCTGAATAATATAATATAATGATAGAAAAAAAACTTATATTGCTTTTGCTAAGTTAACTTGAATTGCCGAGCTCGACTGCAAAACTTAGCCCTAAGAACAACCGTCACGTTCAAATACAATAAAACGAATCCAAGTGTGTGGCGAATACGCATATCGGCACGATTGTGCCCCCTTAAGTACATCTGCGATGTACGAACAAATACCGACTCAAAATAGAATCACGGAACGTGTACATTTAAGGGGCAGTACAATTTGAAAATGTCGGCCAGACTCGATACACTCGTGGCAATTAAAGGGAAGTGGAACTGTACAAGGCATCTGCAGTTCTTGTTACATGTTCTTGTGCTTAATTGCACATGGTCCACTTAAGCTGTCGAAGTAAACTATCGCGGCTATCAGTGACGCATTCACGGAAGAAATAAAAGCAAGGTATCTTGTGTCTCTGAATAAATTTCGCTCAACGACAAGCTAGTGAAGGCGGGTAGCTCGTCAGTATAAGTAAAAACGTTTAAGACACAATCAAGTAACTTGGGTCCTTTGGAATTCTTCCACGACCCGACAGCGAAGAAGTATGTCAACGATATTAAAACGTCTATAGGCAATGCTGAGTGACAACAACCATTAGAGCTCGTTATTTTGTAGCAATGATGCATGTAGTATAAATTTTTCTGTAGACAATTCAACTGACTATTCAGCTGCGCTCATGTTGTTCCATTTTACTTTGCCTTAAACAGCTAAAAAAAGATTGTATATCATAGCGTTTGTTTGTATATGCAATCGTACGCGTTCTAGTTCCGTATATATATATATATATATATATATATATATATATGCAACAAGACGTGGTACGCACGATGCGTTCTTTCCCGTGATCAAAATAGGACAACCTAAGAGTTAATTTTAGGAGTAACTTTACCCGCGGTGCTACTTCTTACCTGTTACAAACTGGACGAATTGCGAAAGTTCTTCTTCGGAGAACGAATCTACCACCTAAAACCAAACTCTTTTTATAGCACTTACTATGTGTTATGGAAAATACATGGTATACATTGACTCAGTAATAGCAAGCGGTACGATGGTAGGGGTACTAGGCGACGGATTAGAAAAATACGTCCTTATGACAGACGCTCTTCAAGGCCAATACCTACCTTGCTACGTCCGGGTACCCTTCATATCAACAAACAATCTAGTAAGAGCTCAATTTTAGCATCACGTTCAATATCAAACGTATATTAATGTGCGCCGATGCTTGTATTGAGTTCTATTTAAAGGAAGGTACATTTTCTAAGATGAGTGTGAGACTGATTTTATAACCAAATAAGACAACAGCACCGTCTAGTAGGTACCTTCCAAAACCATTGTAGAATATGGCGATTCGTATCGGTCCAACCAAGAGCGTAGTGATTTTTTCGAAGGTCTTCAACGACATAGATTGGGCTTCCACAAAGAAGCAACTCCAATTCTTCCTCGTCAAACTCCCGAAGAAAATTGATGTTTAGAACAGTGTTGAAACCCTGCTCAAGTTCAGAAGGCATGTACAAGTCATGAAATTGAAAGGCACAGCTTCAGTACTATTAAATTGAGAAGAACACGCTAAAACTACCCAGTGTTATATGTAAAATATGGGTACATTGATACGTTTTTGGTAAAATACGAGCTATATGTTCCATCATAAGGTAATGAACCGAGTAGCCCCGTATTCAAATTCAGGATCGTTGCAAAATTTGAAGCTATTCTGCGTACCATCATGAAGCTTTTGATGTGTGAGCGAACTTTTCGAGCGAGCCTGTATTCAGCTAGAGCATTCAGGTACTGGAACTTATTTTTTTCGGTCACAGCAAATGACGATCCTCCACTGATAAGTTCTACCTCCTGCCACAAAGAAAAAACGCAACGCAGTTTGAAGGTTATCTTAACGAGCATCAAAGTAGATTTAAAGGAAAACGAGCTATAATTAGGCCAACGACAATATTTCAGTTAAGATTAAACTTTCTTTCACCTGGATCAATTTTCCGTCTATCGTGAATTCCTCATCAATAAACGAAAGTTGAAGATTATCCACATTGTTTTCCAATATGTATCTGCAACAATTATAAAAGTAACCATGTATACACAAGTGATTAAAAGAGGCTAGAAACACGAAGAAAATATACTCGAAAATATCCATTAAATAAGCCCCCATTTCCATCAGTCTATCTTTCGGGGTAAAAACACCTTTATTAATACGTTATATTTTAAAATATAATCACGTGTGAATTGACGTACCCATTTATGATACCACCTAAACTAGTTTAAAATCTGTTTGCGTCTTCGAGCGAAACACAAGACGAGCAAAAACAGGAAAGTAACGTTTCACGAGGCCGCTAGTGCTGATATTCTTTCTAACTTAGGTCTCGTGTTAATGATTTCTACATATATGCAATACGATATTACGTTATTACGTACGACATTAGGACACGATGAAATTACGAGTAAAGCTCTGGTCCTTCATTCACTTTTGTTAAATATAACACACCAACTGGGGTGGAAAATAGGCAAAGTACAATAGTAACATACTCACTTGATTTTTCCTTGGTAAAGTTCAGGGTCATCCGTCTTGAAGTGTCTGTAAGTCACAGGCCTGCCGAGCATTTGTGCTAAAAAAGATCTCCAAGAAGAAAATGGCAATTAAGCTAAAAAACGTGACTATCGAACAAATTCGTTTATAGAAATCCTCACCACGCAAATTTACTCAAGACTGAATGGCAGTTGAAGGACACAGTGGACAACAAAGATCTGCATGAAGTCCCATTTTTGTGTATATGCGCTTCATATACGACGTCTTTTTTCGTTCCTAATTAATGGATCGTACACATGTGTTAAAAGTCTTTACGAGAATAACATGTGAGGTGCCACACGAATCTGTTTACTTTAGCATATACATGTTTTTAATCCTAGTCATATCGCTCCGTTACCATTGTATCAGTCGAATAAAAGCTCGTTGTTTCTAAGGTGTCAAAATTTCATATCATTTAACCGGATCTACCGGCAATTAGTTTAGATTATTTGTGTCCCTTTGAAAAAAAAGCCATATTATGCTGTGTATTTAAAAAAAAAAAAAAACGTGTACTTACCTTGCGAAATTGGCTTTAACAGTCAACCTGTGTTGGTTACCAAGAGCTGATTCATAGACGCATTTGGCCACTACGCTACCGGCGAACTCAAGTTTACGTAAGTAGCTACCACAGGGCGGGAGTGAGGCGTTCGGCAGTACGAAACCCTGAGCTCCCCCATAGGATGTAAATAGGCCTGAAAATTGAGTGATTTGTCAAGTATTCTTCTTATCTAATCATAAGTGTTCCGAGCTTCATGTTGATATTGTGTTAGACATTGCCTCAGACGGCTGGCTCAGCTCTGTTTGGGACTTGGATCATCTTACGAGTTCCCAAATTTCGTGGGGTAAACGCGTTACCACTGCAACCTTGACGGGTGCTACCTAGATCTCCTATCTACAAGTGTACTATACACGAGATATACGGATTTTAATCAGACGTGGTTCGTTTATTTGTTTCTTTGTTCATTATTTTTATTACAGCTGGAGAAATTACAGCATGTATTATAGTCTAGGTCTGTTTACCAGTTTCCTGACACAGTTCATGATACAGATGCTGAAATACTTTTCTTGCGCCCAGTCACTCTCAAGAAAGAAGAACAGGACCAATGGCCTGAAATATTCGGTATGCTATGGTGCCTTAAAAAGGGTGATTTGGGAGAACGAATTAAAATCGAACCAATAGCGAAATAATCACATGTTTTATTTGTCATGGGTACCTACCTTCGTTCGGATCAAAAAGCTTTATGCAAAGGATTTCGAACCACTCCCTACTCAGACCTCCCATATCAGCGGCGATCTCAAATTTAATGTTGATCTGGAACTTGCGCCGCCAGTCTTCACGATCGAAGCACTCCGTAGCCTTCATGGTCTGTTTAACGGAAAATCGATTGCAAGTATCATGTATTTTGCTATACACATACATCTACCATTGCAGCGTAATTGTATCTATACAAATATGCTATTGGCTATTTTTATATTACATGGTACTTAATTTGATAACGCTAGAATCTGATCACCTTTCATCTTATCTAAGTACTTGGAGGGAACAACTTCGAGTATAGTTCTCTGACAGCCGATTTTCTCTCTTAAAATAAACTGAGGGTAACCTTTACCGTTCTGAGAGGATCTGTTCTGCAGACAATTAGTCTCGCTGGACCTTCAATCTCCCGTTGATGAGAACTCACTTCACCACTTTGCCCACGAACCTAAGAAAAATGACATCATTTTTATACATTTGATTAAGTATTTGTGCGAACTAACAAGGAGTCATATTTTTAGTTACGAATATAATAGAAAGAGGAAGCTTCAATAAAGTACTACGTCGTGACGCTTTCTTTTTACATAAAAACTGTGCAATTGCCAGCTTCCTATTCTACCGACTCTAATTGATAAACTTAATACATGTTTGGCGTTATAAGCGGTGCTACAAGCGTTGAATTCGAGTGCCAAGAATCCCAAGCGGTTGTTGACAAGTTGTCGCTATAATCTATTGTAGAATAATTCGCTCGTAGGATGATGCATTCAAATTCTGGATAAATTTGGCGGGCTGTTTGTCGTAACGAGCACGCGTTCATCCGCTACTCCTAATACCAGACGAAAGCCAGTTCTTTCTAGAACAAAACAACGAACTCGTTTACAATACATCATTTTCACAATTTGAACGAAAATGAGCCATTACCAAATCTCGTTAAGCTGGACGAAGATTAGAACGTTTTTTTGTCTAAAATCTCTTTGCAAATTTTCATGCGGCTTCTGAAAAGCCTAAGGAAAATTTCCTTGAGGCAAACCAGAAGGCACTCAATAGGATTTAGATTTGAAATGCGTCATCACGGCTCAAAGAGCCATTTTTTACACATCTGGATTTTCGAAAAGGAAAATTAATAATTATTTGAGAAAGTAGAATCTCAATTGGTATATGAGCTCCAACGGTTATCCTTTTAGAGGCTTTTTATGACTTTTTGCGTCTTTCGCACTCATTTCCAGCCCTTAAATTTTTAGGATTTTTGGCCTGCCATCAACGCAGAATTTCATTTGGCTGGAATTTTTTGTATACTGCGTGTTTGGGCGATCTCGATAGGAATTTACACCTGTCAGTATTATAAACGTGCAGTCATTATCAAAAAGCGACTTGCGTATCAAAAAAAACATCATTTTAAGCTTCAAACACACTAACTTGGACATGTTACGTTATTGAACGATGACTTTAAAAAACATGAACGTTAAAAACTAAGCTTTCGGAGCTTAGAACCAAAACATGAGAAAAATTTTCAATTTAGGCGCACCATTAGATATATGTATATATAGATTATTTGTATATTGTACACACCCGTTCTACGAGCGAGTCTCGGCGTTCCTCAAAAGCCCTACTGGCTCCCGCTAAGCGGCCTGCCAGATGCAAGAGTCCCGCATAAATAAATGAACTTGAGTGTTCTGAGGTCACAGCCACGCGTAAATGGCTCTGTTCATCATGCAGCTCAACGGTGCGATGCCGGAGGGATACCTACGAGTAGATCAAAAAAAGAAATTACTATTAAAGTAGATATTCTCATGAACATCCATCCACAACACGTTTACCGACGCTCGAGTAAACACATTAAAAATATTAAATGAAAAAAATGTTAACCTGATTTAAGGCTCCCTACAGAGTCTACCAAAAGATTTTATCAATCTGAAAGTCAATTGACAATAGCCCAGGTGATATTCTTGTACTGGATACAAGTCTGTCCGATAGCAAATTCGTATCCCGGACATCGAACGACATCTCGTTCTGATGAGGCCTGCCACGAGCAAGTCCACCTGAACATTGTTATGATGACTATATGATCCTACCTTTAGCGAGCTGGTAATCAAATGACTTCTTTCCGTGTCGTCCTTGGTTAGGAAATGGACTTCGCTACCAGATCCTCCAGCACTTGGTCGAACTCGAATAGAATACCTGAGGTATGATTAGAAAACAGCGTCTAATTTAATTCCTCAGTAAAATATGTTATTTGATCGAAGAATGTACAGGAGCGGGTGTAAGTGACTGAATAAAATCATCGATCTGTAAAAAGAAACACTGTCTAATTACATTTGTCAATGTATCCTACCTGAATTGAGTATTCTTTGCATCACTGAGGAGCGCCGAGTCGCAGAGGATAAGTTCCGCTGAGGAAACAGCCTCGTTGTAATTCATCAAAGCGTGATACCGTGAATCTGGAGTTCGACAAAAAGATAGAAATACGCATTGCAAGATACGCGGATCTAAGTATAACTAGGTAAAACAAGCGCATATTTAGCCCGCAGCTTTCTTCTCAGCCATACCAGAAAAAGGATGTTGCTCGTTCAGGACTTGAAACAACCTTATCATGCTTGATGGAACTTTATCTTAATGTTGTAATGCGAATGATAACAATACTGAACGTTAACACCATGTTAGACAACTGTGACTGAATAGGTGTGTACTCGGCATTACTTCTCAATGGTTTAATCCTATTAGGCATGCAAAGTTCGTGTGGTTAGGCCTACATGGAAGAAAGGCATCGCATGGCCCTTAGGAACTATCCATAATGTACGATTTCTTAGTTGAACTTAGTGCAGCGTATGACGGTTTATAGAGTTCGAGCGATCCAAAAACAAGAGGGCAGCATGTTCACCATGATTAATGCGTATTTCTTTTACTGTGACGCACTTTTAACCACGTACTCATGGTCAACATTAGTGTTTTTTTTTTGGCAAGTGGTTACTGTGGCATGTCGTTATCATGCGGTTTCATAAGTCTGCTGTAGAAAAACTTCTGCAGAGTCTGGAAAAATCTGCCGACCGGATAGTCGATAACTCATAGGAAAAACATGGCATATTATAGTACTCGACATCGGAGCTGGTACTTTACGTCATAAATTGGATTAAGTAGAACGAGCGTAGCGAAATAGAATAATCAACCAAAACCATGTCGTAAAGTCGCTACTGCAGTACGGCAGTTTTGTTACGATGAAGTTGACCAGTAACTAAATAAGGAAAGTTAACAAAAAAAACATTCAATAACACCTTTATCTAGACGCGTTTGGCTCGTACAGCTCGAAAATTACGGCCGCAAAACCAAATTTGATTTCCAAATTCTAATACAAAACATTTGAAAGCTTTATTTGTAGAAAAGTAGCCGGATGCACTGATTCATTATTTGTCTCAAAGTGATTAGGATGTCTAAAAACAGAAGACAGCTAAATATAGCGGTGCTGGTAGTGACGTCTGCTTCAGAAAAACAAGCCGAGGTCGATGAAACGTTCGATATACTCCATATTGATTGATGTCATAAATGGACAACATCATCAGAAAGATGTTAGAAAAGCAGATGCAAATGGGCTCGTTTAAATTCGTGACTCTGAACGGTTACTGTGACTATATCACTTTGCCATCCAGATGTATATAATGAGAGTTACAAACGAATCATTTTGCCTAGGGACGTTTTCAGAAAATTAAGAGGTGTACCACAATCGCTATGCCGTGAAGTGGAAATTGAAAGTCTACGTAGCTTGGAAATATATGCAATACTTATATCAATAAAACATTTCATATGGATCAGTCGGAGCTGTTAGAAAACATATCAATATATAAAACTGGGACACTTTTCCAGCTTAACCTAAAGAGTCAAATATTACGGAATAGTTGTTAAGACGTTGACAAGCTCAATGGGAGACCAGTGCTGTAAATGAAAGTTCCAAAAAAAGACACCACAATTTCTGTCTGATATTTGAGTGCACGGCCATATTTACAGTAAAATCTATTGTTCCAAATATGCTCACTCGTATCGACCAGAAAAATAAGATAAATTACGTGTTATATCTATTTTGCTGTTGACCCAACTTCACGCGTTGTACCACAGATTTGTTCCGTTCCTATATACTGACTGGGCCACTTTTGTCTAGTCATTGTTACCCATATTCCTTCCAACATAAAAGAATACAATGGGGCTTAATTTTCACATTAGCCAATGCTTGAATTTTGTACTAAGTATACCTACACAGATAAAGTATGCACCGAATTCCATCATTCATACATTTGTACAGGTGTTTCTTACCACAGTTTTCTATGTGATAAACGCATCCCAAAGAAATAACGTGACGAGACAAACACGTCGTGCTTGTACTTTTCACGAACACAACCGCTTGCGATTGTTCTGTCGTTGACCAGAACAAAGCCGTGGCGAATTTACGGCACCATATAGCGTGGGACTTTCTAATAAATTTATTTTCTCTAAAACGAAATAACAGCCTCAAAGCAAAAAAGGAAGAATATTGTGATCCTGTAAAATAATAAGGATCGTGAAGTCTTCCATCAAGTAGCACTTAACATCAATAGTCTAGCCGAAAAAGTAAGACTCTTCTTATAAAACGAAGGTCGAAGGATAAATTCAAAAAAGAGCGTTGCTTAAGCACTTTTCGACCAACTACATGTTAAATATATAACGTTAAAACGCTTAATATTAGTTTGAATTTATGAGTTTTCAAATTTTATTTAAATAAATTTACCGATTCAATGTACCTAGAACGCTGAACCTATTTTATGTCTTAGCAATACAAGGCAAGAGCCGGCACAAATAGACTAAGCCTCATGTCATTCGAAGAACGAGTGCTTCAGCCGTGATAAATTGTGCTTCGTAAAAAGTTACATTGTTTATTTATGCAGCGGCGGAGACAGGCAATTTCTTCACGTCTTCGCGGTAGGCTTGTAAACCCTAACTGATTTAATAATAACATTGACGTAACATCTCTACGTCTAGATATCCACACACGAGCTGACCGCAGAGTAAGCATGCAAAACCTTCATAATAGGATTATCGTTGAAGGAAAATACCACTGCTAGCATAGATAGTGTTCTTCTAAATACGTATTTAAGAAGATGATTTTCCTTAATCGATTTTGCTAATCATTTTACTCTTGTCTGCCTTTCGCATATCTTAAAAGCCGTTTTTCTAGACACACGAGATAGCAATGTTTCAGCTATTGTTTCTTGTTAACAATTACATCCTTCCTATATATACATGTGTATATATATGAAACTAATTAATTTCATATATACTTTGAATACACCACGCACATTTGACCCTGGCTTGCTAACGAAGATAATTACGGAAAACGACGACATCTCAAAGGTAATAGTGCCGAATGCGAGTAGAATACTTGCAGAAGATAGACTACATCGGGCTGGCCAAAATCAAAAACAACACGATTCAGTATCTATTTTTACTTCCGACCGAAAAATACAGCAGAACCTTTATACTGAAAGTTAGACTGACAGTTGTGCAATCAAGTGGTTCTGCTCGGTATTTCAAATCTAAGCAAGAGCACAACGTATAACCATACGTGGTCTCATTAAGTTGCCACTGAGAAGAGGATGGGTATATAGAGCGAAACTTAAGTAAGCTGGTACTCTACCTACCACATAAGACGACTACTTCAATGCAAGGTGATTTTGCCAGGGGCACTCCATCGTAGAGCAGTTTCAATTTGAATAAGCCCGGGCTTGACAGCTGTACGGAAAGGGTGGCCGAACTGAGCAGAACATCGTCGCGCCAAACCGAGTATTTCACTGAACTTGCCTTTCCTCCATCGTGCTATTGAGCGTACCAGACAGAAATCAAAATAAAAATAAAAAACACATTTATCATTTAAGCCAAAAAAGACAGACATCTACGAAACACCGATATCGTCTAGGCTGCGTGCCTGATCTTGAAACCTATCATCGAGCGATTCTATTTCTTTATGTACGCAATAAAGAATGCCTTCGAGATATTGTCACTATTGCGATTGTTAGGAAAAGTTTTCTCACAACTTACTTTTAAACAAAGTTCGATTATCAAATCAAACATCTTGTCATTCGCGCTTAAAACAATTCATGCTTCTGCGCTATATTATTTCCTATAGTAGTTATATACAGCAGGTCTTACCACGAATATCTAGTGATTTGCCTTTAGTTCTGGCTCAGGTAGAAGTAAAAATAATTTGACCAAATGAAAACAAAAAATGGATTATAGTGTAATTTGAATATTAGCCGCTAACGAACTTTCGATGAAGACACGGACCCTTTCGATATGAAGCCTTAGCAATTTTTGTAGCCTTGCTGCGTTTACATCGTCCACGAAAGCTTCATTGCCATATCGGTCACGGAGCCGTAGTTTCAGCTGAAGAGCGGTGCGATCGCCTGTTACCATAACTGGCCTAAAGTTTGAAACTGTTGTATGACTAGCTGTTGGCTCGCCTAAAGAAACATTAATCACATAATAACAATCAGTCGACTTCCTGGAGTGCTTAAAGAGCGGTCATATCAGTGTAGTAGATTTCGATGATGCAAACATTATCCCATTTTTGTATAAAGATAAAATGTTTGTCGGCTTTTTTTTGGAGAAAGAAAATATTTAGCCCTGCAAACGCAGATATCGTAGGGACACAATTTTACAGTTGTCGTCAGGGCTACTTTCGTTTTGCAGAGTATTATTAACTAATATATCGCTTTTTTTGAATGGGCTCTGATAGGTTGGCTAGTAAATAAATGTATGCTTGACAGAGTCTGGACATAGAGTTAGTGTCGAAGCTTTCACCGTCATTATCTTTCAAGCCATTTACGTTGCTTCAACGTTATACTTTAAGTAATTTGGGATCGGCTCCAGTAGAGCATAATGCTATATAGTATAGTCTATAGAACATAACTAATGCTCGACAAAAGTCATAAAACTTGGCTGTTATCTATACATATCTATACGTTTCAATACATGTGAATAGATATTTCGCTTAATTTCTTTATGGGAGCTGCTCCCAGTTTATTGCAAGAACAGCCTGATGCTAGATCACCTTGTGAGCTTCCTTGACAGAGAGACGCAGAACGAATAAATTGATACCAACGCAACATCCGTACTAAGTATTCTAATTTATAAAAACATTTATTAAACATCTGAGGAATACGGCAGGTCTGTCCAAAACATAGGCAAGGGTTAGAAAATACCCTTCTGCACGAGTAGGGTACGCAATTTAAATCCATATGTTATGAACCCTTAATGTAAATTCCAACGGGTTCCTTTTATTGGTAATAGATTTTACACTACAATATCCTATAAGGTTGTAGGAAGTTGCGCTACCCTTTAAGCGGTACTCGAAACACTATCTGGCAAGGATTTTAATTATTACATGAATCAAACACTATGTATAACTTTCTAAATTCACAAAATCGCATATACATTTTGACGTTATTATGTAACAAAATCGAGATTTTTTACCAGGATCAAATCGCTTAAGAAATGGGCTTCCTGCTATGGGCACATGTTCGATAGCCATACGGAACGAGTAGAAGCCTGAAACACGTGGCGTAAATTGGACCTGAAAGACGAAACAGGTTTGGGTCTCATACTAAGGACGGAATAGAATCAAAGCGAACTCAATCGTTCGATATTGATAAGTGAAAGCAAGCTTCAGCATTCGTGGAAATCGCGGCCGAAGCTAGCATTGCAGAAAGTGCGTACAGTATAGTTTGTCGAGAGAAAAGAAAAAGCAAATTGGACCACTAATACTACGTTCTGTCTACAAATGATTATGGCCATAAGGTAACCTTCATGCTGGAACTCGCATAATCGTCCAATTCCTCCAGGTTAAAGGTTTACCACATTTATATGAAAAATATCATACGTACCCTAGCCTGGCCATTAAAGGTATCATGTTGAATGCAGAAGGGTATCGCAATATCTTCATTGTGCATCGAAATCGTGATTTCCGGCGGTCCGCGTTCCCCCTTTAGCGGTGGATACTATCACAATTTCCGGATTCGCAAGAAGTGTCACAATGGTATAAAGACAAACATTTGTCATTAACGTTTCTGTCATTTGTATTTCCTAAACCTCCAAGATGATGACGACCTTAATGACCTGCAAAGTGCTGGCTAGCTAACACTGGACCGTGCCCACAGATAGATTTGTATCTATGTTAAATATTCAGTAACCCAGAGGACAGTAAAGCCATACAGATAGGAGAATTTATCATTGTACTATACCGACTAGTGATTCGCTTTGCAATTTCCTTTCTGCACGTGTAGCAACAAGACCCAATTTTTAATATAGCTTGTGCTGTCTGTGACTGTGGCTGGATTTTAGGATCCGCGTCTTTTCCATTGCTCGTCAACATCAAAACCGGAAAGGTAGCAAGCACAAATAAAGGGCAAAATAGAATAGATCTATGCTCTGGCCTGGCGGCAAAAGAAAGCGAAAATAAACATAACAGTTAGGTTTTCTATTGTATCGCAGTGTGTTATATGATCTGTGGGTAGATTTGTTTTGAGCAAATAGAAATCTTATATATATATATATATATATATATATATATATATATATATATGTGGTGCTGACCCTATAGCGGTAAACACAACAATATGTGAATCCTTTACGATAGATCCCACAGACACTGGAGCCCTTCAGATGAACTACGGAATTTCAAGATTATCATATCTTGCAATTTTTTGAGACCAAATTAAGTTGGGTTATATGAAGTTCTTGGACATTTTACTTTAGATAAGTGAAATGAAAGATATAAACCAGCTGAAACATCGCAGCTCCTTGGTTGAGCATTAATAACAAGCACGAAGCAGCTTTCCATCTATTTTGTAGAGAGTACGAAGTATCTGATGGTATCATTACCTCGATACGAAAGGCCAGAGTTTACCTCTTAGCAACTCAAGCGTATGGAACAGATTCATCATTCGGGTATTATGTACCACCCATGTTCTTAGCTGCGACTGCTTTTTGGGGGTCGTCATGAAAGTGGGCATACTTAGGATATTATTATTATTATTGTAAATTTCAAATGTACAAATGCAAAGAACAATTTACCAGAATCTACAGAATTGGAATAAATTGTGATCATAACAGTAACAACAAATTCGCTTTTCCTCCTGCAGACCAAAAGATTGACTCTGATCAATAGGCATTGGTCAATATGATGCATAGTTACGTGTACATACTTTGCCTTCTCCTAATGTATTATTACCGTAGTGCTTGAGAGCCATATTAGCATGTAAAATATTACCACATACACACACAGCATGGCCGTCATTATAAACACTTCCAGCTAGAGAGAATCATTACGGAATATGTGTTTACATACGTGCATAATGTACTCGTACTGTTCGCCGACTCGTGGAACACATTCAAAATCGTTCCATAGAAATTCTACATAGCAATCCTCCGTGTGAAGCGAGCGGCGCCTTGACAAGCGCTTGTGCGAAAAGGCCAACGTTGAAGCCACCACTGAACACAAAAGTACGAACACTGAAAGACAAACAGGACAACAGGATATTTGTATTTAGATCTATAGTCTTGTTTAAGGTTATCGAACGATTTTTGTCACTTTTAAACTATATAATAACAATATTTTGTGCAATAACAAATTATTATTCTTCGCGCTTCAACAGCTTTATGAACGCTGGGTACGTGTCTGGTATTTGCATTTCCATTCCTAAGCTCATCATCGATGGCTTGCTTCAGACAGTCGACGATCAGATACATTACGCCACTTATTTCCTTTTCCAAAATATTAAAGCAAATGAAATCATATAGACATGAATCTAGAGGATATGGGGTCTGAGGCCGCCGTTTGATTCTGTGTTTCCGGGCATAAGGCATGGTTAAAGCAAGGCTATAAAATGTTGCATTGTAGTTAAAGAGCCACACTGTGTGCTGCCGGTTGCTGCACTACGCATCTGCGAGGTCCTTCAAAGATTTCAGATATCTGACAAGCCTGACCGACTAGTTTTCGAACAATATTTCCCAATAGCAAATGTCCTTCGTATGCATTGCAAAGACAAGACCACGCTGGGATTTAATCGGTACTGATTCCAAAATCAGCTTCTTCCATGCTATTGTTTTACCTGAGTTTTTTTGGCGGACGGCGCAGACCGGCCCAGGCCACAGCTGCAGCGATAATCTGGGCAGGTTTTTTTCTTGTATGGGCCGCACGCGTTTCCATTTATGTCGGACCAGTTCGTGATAAATCAATCTTTTGCTTTTATTTTTTTATCTTTAGCATTACAGCCTTATAAGACGTGTTTTGCATAATTCTTCATTCAACTGACCGGAAAGGCGTTGTATATGCTCTGTTTTACAGTTGAAAGATGTTCGTGGTCACAGGAACTTTTATTATTATTTTCAAGGTCTTTACGCCTTCCGACTTTCATTTTCAAAATGACCAAGTGTTTTTTTGGTGAGTGCCTTTTCCCCATTGATTTGGCTAATATTTTATGGAAGCGCTCTAACTAGTGCAAAACAAAAATTCAGTTACTGAACGCTGATTATTAGCAGTAAATTACGTTTTTACTTCTACACTTATATTCAGATGACACTCAGTAGGCTAGGAGTACAGCTACTCTAGCTGCTTCTAGTACTAGCTCTCCGTGAAGAGCCGCCGCATTCAGAATTTTGGACCGACTAGGTAGCTCCAAATAAGTTAAAAGATACATACATTACTGTTTATTATTATGTAATCAATCATATATATATAAAATACAGTATATAATATGTATTGCTACGAGCCACTTGCTACTTGAAGTAACTCTATGTGAAATTAGGCAATGGAGTGTGGTAAAGACGACATTGTGTCCCTGTGCGATTTCAAAGGTTAAGCGTTTTATCCGTATTGTGGAGGAAAGACTTGCAAATGGTCGTCAAAAACACACGCGTCTATAAAAATACCGTAGCTCTAAAATTTCGTATGACTTAGAGCAGATTCTCCGCACCGTTAAGACTTTGTGTACTCCTGTGAACCAATTAACTTTGTCTCAATAAATTCAAAAAAAAATACTGTTAATCCAATAAGCACAATTACTCTAGAAGTAAGTTTAACGAGCACATGAGAAAACAGGACTACCATATCATCTAAACCGACGAAACGCGTTTTACTGCTCCTTCGACTCAGTGCCTCACTCAGAAATACAGTTTCTTCTATAGTTAGTAGAAAGGACAGATAATATATAGGAAGACAGTACGGGATGAATATGTGTGAAGATAACTCTCAAAGGTGATCGTTCTGACCCAAGCTGCCTGCGAGGTCGTCATCTCTGTATTGTAACTGCATTCGTTATCCTCTCTCTATGTTTGAGGATAGTTCGAAATACGGCGACCTTTCTGAACTCGCGATATTACAGTGCAAGGCGTCGTAATTTCGAACAGTCAAATCGCTGAAGACTATAGATTTAACACATGAAACAGGTTGATTTTTCGCAGAAAGGCTCCAAATACCGTCGATCTTTCCTTCAAATTGAAAGACAGTGTTTTCTTAAAACAGTCACAGATCAAAGCAAGTAGATTTCAAGTTACCACGTTAGATTAGAGATCCAGTTGGTCTAAGTTCTATAGATTTTATGAAATACATTTTTATTCGTTAATACTATTTACCGATAAAAATACATCCACTTCTAGTCAAAGGCGTCCAGATCGTCCGAATACAGATATCTAGAAGTGCTCTCAGAACTCAGAGTTATACGCACGAGCAAAATTAGCACGACGTCCTGTCTGTCCAGGACAGAATTTTGTCAGCACCTTTGAATAATGTCCATGTTGCTATGGTGTATACGTTTTGCTAGCGCAGAAGCAGTCTCTATTGCTGTGCCGTTCCAATAGCTTCTTTTTGACTTCGATGATGTGACGGTAAGACCGCTTGTTTGAGTTAGCCCCCTGACGTCTACGTCAAAATAAAATCTAGTATTCTACTAGTAGTAGCAGCAGACCATTTGACTGAACCAGCCGGACGCCATCTGTATAGAGCGACCTATTATTGCACATACATATACCCTCTTCTTATTATAACGACGACTAATTTAATCACTGAACAATATTCAGGTCAAATATCAAGGTATTACGAGAAGCAAGGACGTCCTTACACAACGATACTCGGTGCCTAGATATTATCAGCCTCATAAGGATGGAGCAAAAAAATAAGGGTTCAGAGGGCTTGGCCAATGGATTCAGCTTGTGTCAATATATATA